TTCTCTAAGAAAAAGGGATAGTGAGATTCTTTTGAGTTACGTACAGGTACATAACTACGGTAGCTATTCGCTGTCCTCCGGTCTTGCTTTTGAACTCATCTATGACATAGTCATAGCGAGGCTCATACTTCTGGCCAACTTGGTAGTGAAGAACTTGAAGACCTTCTCCATATTCTACAAACAGAACAGCGTGATCCACAACAAGATATCAAGAGTAATTGCAACTAAGGTGTTTCAACACTTCCTTCCTTCACTAGAGGAATGGCTAAAGCAAAAAATGGTACTTACCTAGAGGAATGAAGGTGACATCTGAAATCCTTTTCTCAATCTTCTCGACAACTTCGTCCTGTCAAACCTTCCCAAGTTCAAACCGGATTGGCAAAAGGAAAAAGAGGATATAAACCTGCTATCTTTGGTCCCACCACTATTCTCATCAACCACTTCTGACTTAACCATGCTCGGTTTAGCAGTGCTCACATTCTTCATTGGTCTAAAGAAACATAAATGAATAGAAAAAAAAAGCCCAAGATCACATCATTTTCAAACACAAATCCACTAAATCACATTCCCTCTAAGCCAGAAACATTTCCAATGAAATCCAATGAGAACAAAGCCAACTCAATCGATCAAAACATAGCAAAACCAAGCTCCAAATCCTTCCTTATCTTGTCTAACAAGAAATACAAACACGCATGAAGAAGCAATATATAAGTTCTATAATCAAGATCGAGAGATTAGAAACACGAAATTACCAAGAAATTGTGGTAGACAAGAGCTCTAGTCTCCCCCGAAATCACTTCAACCCAAGGCTCGGTGTTTCCTTCCACATCTCCATAACTAAAGAAAATTTCCAAAAACCTATTTTCAGAAATCACTTAACCATTCCCAAAAAACAAAACCCCTAATCGTTCGTTAACCCTAACCTCTCTTCGCTCTTACGTACAATGTTGGTCAAATCATTCGGCTTCGTAGAGTTTCTGTTCGCATTGCGAAGTATTAAGATCCTGATCCCGAGACCGACAAGGATAAGAATCATACTCACTACTAAGTGCAACATGATAAACCCTGTTAAAAATCGAATCGTTCGCGGTGCTGCTCTTCGAGCTTCCTGAAGAAGATGCTCCGTTCTTTTTTGTTTTGCCGTAAGATGCTCCGATTTAGACGCCATGGATTTTATATTTTTCTCTCTCAAGACCTAAAAGAGAAACAACATTGATTACTAAAGTTTTATTTATAAAGATAATAATAAAAAATGATCCCTAATTTCTTGTGATTGATTCTCTTTTTTTTGTTGGATCTTTGTCCGTTGCGTATTTGTTTTTTGGTGTTTTTCACTGGAATCCTCTATATATTCAAGGAAATGAGAAAGTCGTTGCAACACGTGGCAACTAATTACAAGATCTAACTCCAAAAAATCATTAGCTTCCACCAAAAGAATCAGAAGCCAAGGGAAAAGGAAAATATTACACAGAGGTAATATTACATTTATCCAAACAAAAAATTAATTCTGTAACTAAGATGGAGGATCCAAAACTACATAAGATTGCCAATGATTCTCACATATCATACTTGTAGCTATAAAAAAAAAGCTCCCTTGTTAGCGGTTCTAGCCTCTTGTTTCACTAGCCAATGAAGAATACTATTTAAAAGACTGAGTAACTGGACTGATTGAAACTTAAAAAAAGGCCAAGCAGGAGGTCGATTTATGGCCCAGTCAGATCAGAAGCTTCGAACACAGAGACCACCTTAGGCACTTTAAGACTGATCATAC